GTGTGCGTCTGCGCGCGGGCGCGAGGGCAACGGCAGCGTGGGCAGGGGCCATCGTGGGGGGCGCGCGGCTCCCCCCGTGACGGCTCTGGTCTCATACTGCGCATCCAGCGGCGAGGCAGGTGGCCTCGTGCAAACTTCTCGCATGTGCAGAAATAGCAAAACTCTGCCCGCCTTCGGGTCCCTCCGAAACTGGCTGGAATCCATCTTCCCCACTCCTCTCCGCGCTGGGTGTTTGGTTCAATCACACTCTCCTCCGGGCATTTTCCACCTGCCGGGTCTCTGCCCACGCTGTTCCCCACCGAGCCCTGCCATGCCCTTTCCTTCCTCTGTCCAGATCGTACATTTTCTCCTTTCTAAATACCTGCAGGTAGAGGAGAGAGCCCTGGGCCTGCAGTCAGAAGACTGTAATCCAGATCATTTTGCTGCTGCTGTGTGACCTGAGGCAAGTCCTTAACTTCTCCGAACCTCAGGCTCCACATCTAGAAAAAAAAAAGGAGTGGGAAACAGCAGCTCTGCTACCTCTTGGGTTTGATGTGAGAGTCAGATGTTTAACAAATAATTACCAAAAGCCTTCTTTTAAACTCTAAAGCAATTCTTAAAGAAAAGGGTGATTATTACTTAAGTCTATGCATCTAACATCTCCCCCTAAACTTGGTGGGTTGACCCTTTTGATAGTTGATCTTGGGCCTCTTTTATCTCTAGTAATACTCTGCCTTAAGGTTAAGTTGGTCTGATATTAACTTAGTTACACCAGCTCCCTTTCGGCCTTATTTGCCTGATTTAACTTGTTCATCCTTTTACTTTCAGCCTTCCTGGGTCTGTATACTTTAGATGTGTCTCCTACAAACACACTGTGCCTGGAATTTTTTAAAAAGTCATTTACACATGTATGATTATGACATAATACCATCTTATTTTTGTGCTTACTAACAGTCAAACTTCATGTTTTGGTTTTTTTTTTTCCTTTGTCGAGCGGAAAAAAAAATGCACAACCTAAAAATTGAGTTACATTTTACTCAGTAGACATTTCTGAGGGCTTAAGCCCGGGATGCTGCCTCTCAGATCACGCTGAGAGACTGCTCTGAGGAGCCAGGGGAAGAGTCAGGGTATATAG